TTATCGAATAATTTAAAGTTAAAGGGAAGGTTTGTCTGTTCAACAAAAGTTCAATGAAAAATTGAAGTTTTTTAGCCATGAAATCAGAAACTTAGTTGTCCGTTTCAGGAAGAGAGGTCACTCAATCCTCTGTCTCCACCCTCCTTAACGCCAATCATGCTGTCTCATTTCCTGATTCAGTCAGGAGAGTCCTGTCTTAAAAATAAAAAATGTCATCCGGTCCGTAAGACACATTAGGTGTTAAAAGAAAAACAAATATTGAATATATTTTTAAGAGGATCCATTCAATGAAGAAGTGGCATTAATTCACAGGTAATAAATATTTGTCAGGAGAAGGTTCTCACACCATGTATAGATGTTCTTTCAGATTCAGAAAGTTATCTTTATAAGCAAAATATTAACTCCTTTGCAAAGCTTCAATGTTCAGCACTACTGTGTCTAAAATGCCTTCACTTTGTGCAACAAATAGCTAACATTAGATGTGATTTTCAAACACAGTCATCTTTTTCTCTGTTGGCTCCCCACAGTGTGGGAGCCGTTCCTTCCTCTTCTTTTTCCTTTTCTCTCTGGGAGGTTCAAACTGTCCAGAAGTCTCTCAATTGCCACTTTCTTGTCCTTGACTTTGAACTTGAAATGGCTTCCTGTCAGCAGAGGAAGGATTGGCCATAAGACAGAATTTAATAGAAAATGAAAAAGAATGTAACAAAAAGGAATCAGTTCATGTGTAAATGTTAAAGGAGGTTGGTCATTATGTTCATAGTTACTTTTCATAGTAATGCAAACATTACTTCCCTATTTACCTCAATGTCAACCTTTAATAAAGAGGTTTTTGAATTTTTATAAATATCAAAACCAAATAAATGTATAATTTTCAAGGTTAACATACATTCTATTTACTAAAGTGCTTAAATTTTAGAGAAATTGTTTCCACATAGTGTGGAAAAAAGAAGATTAATTCAATCATGTGAAAAACATGTAGTTAGAAAACTAGCCATTAAAAAACAAAAATTTGAAGGTCCATCCGTAAAGAAATCAAGGAGCATATATGATATAAAAATAGCAGCCTGTGAATTTTAAAATATTAAATTTATGAGAAAATAGGCCAAAGGATAGAAGTACTCAGTTATTTTGTTCTTCATTGGTTGTCTTACTCTATTGGTTGTCTGTTTTTACCCTCAGGCCATGTCATTGAAGTGAATCTTTATTTCAGCTGGTTGTCATCTATACATCTTCAGTTGGTCTCTCTGCCCTCTCCAGAGCTTTGATATGGTTTGATAATGTAGCACCCAACCCAAGTAGTTAGGCATTAACTCTGTATTAATGTTATGGTACTACTATAGGTGGGGCCCTGGGTACGTTACTTACAACTAATATTGTTAAACAGGAGAAATAATAGTAAATAGTCTTTTAACTGTATGTAGTAATTTAGAGTTTTTGATATTGACGGTGCCTCCACTTAGCAGGATTTATATATGCAACTCTGTATTTAAACCCACTAAGAATAATGAATTTATCTTTTAACCCCTTTCATCTTTCCTTTTTTATCCTTGAATGCAACCATTACTTTTAAATCTTGGTAAATAATTATGACACAACAGAAATAAATTTAAATATATGGGTAAATTTTAGTAAAAACTTAAATTATGATTAGGGAAAAAAATAAAAGAGAAAATATTGAAAAGAAAGTGTCCAAGTTTTTTTTTTAAAGTGTCTCAGTACACTTACAATACTTCAAATGTCTTCACAGACTCAAAATAACAATTTAGAAAATGATATTCTATAAATTTCTTCCCTTAACCAGTCCAGATACGTAATTTATCTGAGCTCAGATTTAATAAACCGTTGCAGGCCTGGTTGTTGCTTGGGTTCGTTGGGACCAGAAAACAGAAAAAGGCCGCTTCACTTGTTGAACAAGCAGAAAAAAAAATGCACGTGCTTACTCACGAAATCCTTTTGCAATAGGTACGATATCTGATGGAGGTCAAGCCATGTCCATGCCAAACTGAAACTCTTCAAGTTGGTTGGAGTTAGCTTCACACTCGAGAGTTGGAAGTACACCTCGAAGAAACTGCGACAGGTCTATCCACAGCAGAAGAGTCCAGAGAATTCCTCCCGGTCCATCATCAAAGGATAAAACAGTCCAAAAACAGGAATGTAGACTCTGCATCCACGGCTATTTTTTTTATGATTCTCCCCTTAGCTCTGATGAACAGCCTCCTCCGGCAAACCGAGTGCTATAACCTAGATCCCGCCCTCTAACACATCTGATTGGATATTCAGTTTACATCATCCAATGTGATAAGAGAAATTACAAGATTGACAACTTAACAAGTCAGGTTGTAAACAAGATTCAAGGCAAACAAACTTAAGGCAACATTAACATTAGTATTCAACAAATAAATTGACAAAAAAAAAAAAAAAAAACGTTGTTTGGATTTAAACTATTTATGAACACTTTTTAATAATTGATGAACTTTTATTTATTGTTATTTTAAACAGATTTTAAACGCATTTTAACTTGATTTTTAATATATTTAACCTAGTAGTCTGAAATAGATTTTTTTTTTAGACCAGGCTACATCCTCCCCCTTCTAAAAGGTTTAGATGTCCTCATCTAACTCCAAGTTTAAACTTAGGTCCAGAGGGATGAGTCTTATAATGTTTAGAACATTTTAAAGGATTTGTTTCATCTCTAGTGTTACTGAGGTTGACTTGTATTACCATTCCTTGGTGCACAATTGTCACAGGTTCCTCAGTTTGTGTTCCAGGTTTGTCATAAGTCAAACGGATGACTGGTTTCACTTCTCGCGCTGACTTTCTGGTTTTGGGACTTGTGCGAGTTCTCAACTCCACTTCGGCATCTTCAGATGTATCACTGGCTTCTGGTTCTAAAGTTGAAGGTTGACATTCCTCTTGTGAACTTTCAGATGGTCCTTCCTTAAACTCAGGTTCACTCTCAGGTGAGGAAGACTCTTCAGAAGAAGCAGATTGGACATCAGGTCTGCCTAGTATAGGTACATGTCTCCTGACATGGTCAGTGTTTTTGGTTTGATACTCATACGCATATTCATACTCAGATTCTGAGGCTGAAGAAGCATCCGATTTTTGAGCATTTCGGTCACGTGTTTGACTTTGTAGAGCATGTTGTCGTCTAGTAACCGGTAGTCTGACTCTTTCAGGTGTTTCTAAGGTCTCTGAGATTCGGACGAGATAACCGATAGGTAGTAGATGATCTCTGTGTAGAGTTTTAACATTTCCAGTTCCTTGTTCTGATTTGACTTTGTATACCGGTAAGTTCGGTAACTTTTGAATTACAATGTATGGGGTTGATCTCCATCTGTCTTGTAGTTTGTGTTTACCAGTTAAACCAACGTTTCTTATCAGTACCCTGTCTCCTTCTTGCAAGGGTTGGTCTCGTACTCTTTGGTCATAACGGGACTTGTTTCTCCGGTGGTTCTTTGTTGCACTCTCGGTAGCTAGATGGTAAGCTTGTTTTAGTTCTTTTCTCATTTTGTCAACGTACTGCAAGTGAGTTTTCTCTGAATCACTTTCAAGAACTGCATTGAAACAAAGGTCAATCGGCAACCTAGCATTGCGTCCAAACATTAAATAGTAGGGAGAATATCCGGTAGATTCATTTTTCGTGCAGTTATACGCATGTACTAACTGACTAATATGTTGACTCCAATTTTGTTTTTTAACATCCTCAAGAGTTCCAAGCATCGAAAGAAGCGTTCTGTTGAAACGTTCCGGTTGGGCATCCCCTTGTGGATGGTAAGGTGAGGTGCGTGATTTTCGGATACCAAGCATCAACAGAAGCTCTTTGATAAGGCGGCTTTCAAAGTCTCTGCCTTGATCTGAATGTATTCTGGCGGGCAGTCCGTAGTGAACAAAGTATTTCTCCCACAATACTTTTGCAACTGTGACTGACTTTTGATCCTTTGTAGGGAACGCTTGAGCGTACCTTGTGTAATGATCAGTTACTACTAGTACATTGGCAACTCCTTTGCTGTCTGGCTCTATTTGTAGGAAATCAATACAAACTAGATCTAAGGGGCCATTGCTAGTGATTTGATTGAGTGGAGACGAACGTTGTGGTAGTGTTTTTCGGGCGATACAACGTCCACAAGTTTTTATATACTGTTCCACATCGGTGTTCATTCTAGGCCAGTAGAAACGATCTTTGAGCAATTCTGTTGTTTTCTCAATGCCTAAATGTCCACAGTCATCATGTAACGATCTCATTACACTTGTTCTGTATCTTTCCGGTAGAACCAGTTGTTTATTCACTGTGCCATTGGGCATTTTTCTTTGTCGGTAAAGTATTTGGTTGTCCAACTCAAGTTTTGAGCTCTCTCGACTTAACAATGTCACATCAGGTGGATAATTTTTGGATGGAATAAGCTGCTCTCCAGTTTGGATGGTTTGTTTAACTGGACCAATAATTGGGTCAAGATCTTGAGCAACTTGCAAGTCTTTAGAAGTAAACTGCTCATACAAGGTTGCTCTCAGACTCACTGGAAAAACGTAAGCTTCCGGAATCACTGATGGAGGGACACCAAGTTGGTCTACTAGCTTAGTAGTTCCATTAATGGATTCCTTTTTACAGATGGCTTTTATGGCAGATTGCGGCACATCTAACCATTGTTCAGTTTCATTTGTGTACTGCCGAGATAATAGATCTGCGTCTACATTGTGACGACCAGGACGATACTGGATGTTGAAGTCATATGTAGCTAAAGCTGCAAGCCAACGATGTCCAACAGCATTTAGTTTTGCTGTTGTCAACACGTACGTTAAAGGATTGTTGTCTGTTCTAACTGTGAACTTAACTCCATAGAGGTAGTCGTGAAATTTATCAACGACAGCCCACTTCAGCGCTAGGAACTCAAGTTGATGAACAGGATAGTTTCGTTCTGAGTCACTGAGTTTTCGACTAGCGAAGGCAACAGGCTTAAGGCCCTCAGGGTACTCTTGGTTGAGTACTGCACCTAAACCATTCATGCTCGCATCCACATGCAGGACATACGGTTTGGTGGGATCTGCGAATGCTAGTACAGGAGCATTAGTCAAACAGTCAATGATCTTTTTGAATGCTTGTTGACAGGAATTGTCCCATCCGTCTTTAAAAGGTTCAGAAGGTTTGAGGTAAGTTTTGGTTGGGTCTTTGGCTCGAATTTTCTTGCTTTTCTGAGTAGGTGGGTAACCTTTGGTAAGTTCTGTTAATGGACGGACTATGCTAGAGTAGTTTGCAATAAATCTGCGATAGTACCCACAGAAACCAAGGAATGAGCGAAGGGACTTAAGATCTGTTGGCTCCGGCCAGTTTCTAACAACAGCGACCTTTTCTGGATCTGTGGCTATGCCGGCTTCTGAAACAATATGGCCAACATACACTATATTGCCAAAAGTATTTGCTCACCCATCCAAATTATTGGAATCAGGTGTTCCAATCACTTCCATGGCCACAGGTGTATAAATTCAAGCACCTAGGCATGCAGACTGTTTTTACAAACATTTGTGAAAGAATGGGTCGCTCTCAGGAGCTCAGTGAATTCCAGCGTGGAACTGTGATAGGATGCCACCTGTGCAACAAATCCAGTCGTGAAATTTCCTCGCTCCTAAATATTCCACAGTCAACTGTCAGCTGTATTATAAGAAAATGGAAGTGTTTGGGAACGACAGCAACTCAGCCACGAAGTGGTAGGCCACGTAAACTGACGGAGCGGGGTCAGCGGATGCTGACGCGCATAGTGCGAAGAGGTCGCCAACTTTCTGCAGAGTCAATCACTACAGACCTCCAAACTTCATGTGGCCTTCAGATTAGCTCAAGAACAGTGCGCAGAGAGCTTCATGGAATGGGTTTCCATGGTCGAGCAGCTGCATCCAAGCCATACATCACCAAGTGCAATGCAAAGCGTCGGATGCGGTGGTGTAAAGCACGCCGCCACTGGACTCTAGAGCAGTGGAGACGCGTTCTCTGGAGTGACGAATCGCGCTTCTCCATCTGGCAATCTGATGGACGGGTCTGGGTTTGGCGGTTGCCAGGAGAACGGTACTTGTCTGACTGCATTGTGCCAAGTGTAAAGTTTGGTGGAGGGGGGATTATGGTGTGAGGTTGTTTTTCAGGAGCTGGGCTTGGCCCCTTAGTTCCAGTGAAAGGAACTCTGAATGCTTCAGCATACCAAGACATTTTGGACAATTCCATGCTCCCAACTTTGTGGGAACAGTTTGGAGCTGGCCCCTTCCTCTTCCAACATGACTGTGCACCAGTGCACAAAGCAAGGTCCATAAAGACATGGATGACAGAGTCTGGTGTGGATGAACTTGACTGGCCTGCACAGAGTCCTGACCTCAACCCGATAGAACACCTTTGGGATGAATTAGAGCGGAGACTGAGAGCCAGGCCTTCTCGTCCAACATCAGTGTGCGACCTCACAAATGCGCTTCTGGAAGAATGGTCAAAAATTCCCATAAACACACTCCTAAACCTTGTGGACAGCCTTCCCAGAAGAGTTGAAGCTGTTCTAGCTGCAAAGGGTGGACCGACGTCATATTGAACCCTATGGATTAGGAACGGGATGTCACTTAAGCTCATATGTGAGTCAAGGCAGGTGAGCAAATACTTTTGGCAATATAGTGTATTTTACTTGGGACTGACAGAACTGACATTTGTCTATCAACACTTTCAGACCAAATTCCTCAAGGCGATCTAAGACTTTAAGGAGACGTTGCTCATGTTCTTCAAGTGTTCTGCCAAAAACAATTATGTCGTCGAGGTACACTATCACTTGGAGAAGGTGCATATCCCCCACAGCTTTCTCCATAAGCCGCTGAAAAGTGGCAGGTGCTCCAGTGATACCTTGCGGCATTCTTTCCAATTGGTAGAACCCAAGAGGGCAGATAAATGCAGTCTTCTCCTTATCTTGCTCGGACATGGAAATTTGATAATATCCACTCCTAAGATCAAGGACTGAAAACCATTTGCTGCCTGTGAGACAATCCAAGGCATCGTCAATACGAGGGATGGTGTACTGGTCTGGGATGGTACGACTGTTCAAAGTCCTGTAGTCAATGCAGATTCTAACTGAACCATTCTTTTTCCGTACAACTACAATAGGTGAAGCAAATGGGCTACGCGACTCTTTAATGATACCCGCAGCTAACAACTGTTGTAAGTGTTGTCGCACATCTTCAATGTCTGCTGGAGCTAAACGACGTGATCGTTCTCTAAAGGGAGTAAAGTCACTAAGGCGGATGTGGTGTTCTACATTCTTAGCTAAACCCACGTCCCATTCACCTAGAGAGAAAACATTTCGCCTCTGAGCTAGCTTTTGCTGTAACCTTTCCTTCCACTCTTTGGGGACCGGTGAATCACCAAAATCAAAGAGTTTGGGATCTAAAGTACTAGTCTCAGGCTCTAGAGCTTTAGGGTCAGTGACTATGTCTACTTCATGCATCTCAGCGAGAACTGTGCCAACTTGGATAGAGGTAGGTTTCTGTGACTCATTATGCAATAGAACTGTGAAACTGTTCTCATCTATGTCACTCTCTGGGAGAACACTTGGCTGCACTAGCACGCCAGATGGTAATTGCGACATAGCTGGTGCCTCAACAACGATGAAATTGTGAGACTTGGTAGCTTTCTGCTCTACTTTGCAAGTGGCATAGAACTTTTCATTAGCAGCAATGGTAAGTGGCCCTGGACCTTGCCATTTCACTTGTCCTATGGGATTGTCTGCTGCATGGGACTTCAAAGACTGAGTTTGGATTTGGTCATAAACTGCTTGTATTTTCATGGAGCTGACTTTACAATCACTACCGCTTTCTTTATACAACTGGAATAGACGGCGGAACAGGAAAGCATTTGTACCCACCACTACAGGGGTTTCATGACCTTGTGGGGGCTCAGGACAGATGAGAGCAAGGACGTTAAGTGGCCCTTTAACGCCTACTACATCCTCAGGGAATTCCATGTCTACTATTACATACCCACAGTATGGATAAGACTCAGCTGATAAACCCCAGATAGCTAGACTGGAAATAGGATGTATTGGAACTGTTGGTATGTTGGCGTTATACCAGTCCTCAAAGATGATTGTCACTGTTGACCCAGAATCCATAAGTCCGTTGCAGGAGATGTTATTAACTTTAATAGGTGCGATCGATGAGGGACCAATTAGACCTTCAGGTATGTCTGCATTTTGAGTCGGGACACTGGCGGTATTGACATGAGCGACACACTGATCTTGATCCTCTGTACTTTTATTTTGTCCATCTTTACTTCCATGTACCTGATGAATTAGCTTTTTGATCACCTTTTGAGCATTTTCCGGAGCTGTGCATTTATTTGCAAAATGCCCGTTTTCTCCACACCTGTAGCAAAAATAATCTCCACCTTTGCTACTCTTTGAATTATAGGAAGGTGACTTTGGACTGAAGTCTGCTTTGAACTTGCGGTAGGGGCCTTGGTCTTTTGCATATTGCTTTGGCTTTACTGACATTACACTTAACTGTGTTTTTAACTCTGAAACTTCTTTCCTTAACTGTTGCACTTCTTTGTTTGCGTCTGATTTGTCTTTTTTCTGTTCTCTGAACTCTTTCTTTTGACTTGACTCTGTGGGCTTAGACTGCTTGTTAAGCTCTTTAAGCTTTGCTTTTAGCTCTTGAACTTCAGACTGAAGATCAACTTGCTGACACCCTTTCGATTCTGTCTCACTTATGGTCTTCACTGCATGCACATACTGTCTTTGTGCTGGTTTTTTAAATTTTTGTCTGGCTGCTTCACGCTCCTCTTCTTCACGAATCTCTTTCAGTAGGTTTAGAAATGATGGTGGGTCACTTCGCCTATCTCTTAGATTTAGCTGAAGAATCATGAGATCAGATTCAGTTGCACCTTTAATGAGTTGCTCTAACCTTGCTTTATTGGCTTCACTTACTGTTAAGCCTCCTTTTTGAAGCACTTTATTTAGCGTTCTTTCCAATCTCAGCAAAAAATCCGACAAGCACTCATGTTGTCTTTGGTGCATGGATCTGAATGTGAAGTACAGTTCTTCTCCGGATTCTGAGGTTCCAAATGTACTTTCTAATGCCTGTATATAATCTATATGGCTGGCATTGGGATTGGACAATCGTACTGCTTGTATTATCTCCAAAGCTGGTCCTTTGAGACTCTCAATAATCCTCCGGCGCTTTTCTTTGTCTGACCATTCATATTCTTCACTCATGAATTTTGCTTGTTCTAGCCAACTGTCTAAATTGTCTTCTCCAGGCGGAGTAGGATGGACTCCAGAGAAGGTTCTTAGACGCCTGTAAGAACTACTTTCATTTGGCTGCAAAACATCACCTACTGCACGAATAATTGACTCTGGATTGCTGTTCCATGAAGTTGCAGGAGAACATAGTCTTTCAATGTCATCCATCGTTTTCCCTTCATCCCGTAGAAATTTGGTTAATTTCTCTGTGAATGGGTCTGAGTTTGTTTCTTCTTTTGCAATCACTATTGCCCATTTTCTTCCTTCTATAGGTGAGATCACTTCTAGTGGAACTTTAGTGGAGTCTACTTCTTCACGGCATTCACATAACATGGTTAGGGTTTGGTTATTAGCATCAAACATCTTGCCCCTCACTCTTACCTTGCCCAAGGCTTTTATTTGCTCAAGTGTTGCTTCGACTGTGGATATCTCCTCATCTTCAGGTACTCCAAGCACTAGAATGGCATGTGACGGATCCAGCCCTTCACCCCTGCACCAGTTAGCAAGATCGGGTTGTGCGCTCTGTTTTTTAGTGGCCATAGTTTAATCAGTTTCTTTCTTTCTTAATTATTTTATCTTAATTTTTTTTTTCTTCAAGGGATTACAGTAAAGGTGGCTTTTTAAAACTAAGATTAAGTTTACTAACTTATAAGCATACCATAGATTAAGACTGACGAAAACTGGTATTAAACAAAAAAATTTTATTATCCCAGCGGTGCCTCCAATTTGTGTAGCACCCAACCCAAGTAGTTAGGCATTAACTCTGTATTAATGTTATGGTACTACTATAGGTGGGGCCCTGGGTACGTTACTTACAACTAATATTGTTAAACAGGAGAAATAATAGTAAATAGTCTTTTAACTGTATGTAGTAATTTAGAGTTTTTGATATTGACGGTGCCTCCACTTAGCAGGATTTATATATGCAACTCTGTATTTAAACCCACTAAGAATAATGAATTTATCTTTTAACCCCTTTCATCTTTCCTTTTTTATCCTTGAATGCAACCATTACTTTTAAATCTTGGTAAATAATTATGACACAACAGAAATAAATTTAAATATATGGGTAAATTTTAGTAAAAACTTAAATTATGATTAGGGAAAAAAATAAAAGAGAAAATATTGAAAAGAAAGTGTCCAAGTTTTTTTTTAAAGTGTCTCAGTACACTTACAATACTTCAAATGTCTTCACAGACTCAAAATAACAATTTAGAAAATGATATTCTATAAATTTCTTCCCTTAACCAGTCCAGATACGTAATTTATCTGAGCTCAGATTTAATAAACCGTTGCAGGCCTGGTTGTTGCTTGGGTTCGTTGGGACCAGAAAACAGAAAAAGGCCGCTTCACTTGTTGAACAAGCAGAAAAAAAAATGCACGTGCTTACTCACGAAATCCTTTTGCAATAGGTACGATATCTGATGGAGGTCAAGCCATGTCCATGCCAAACTGAAACTCTTCAAGTTGGTTGGAGTTAGCTTCACACTCGAGAGTTGGAAGTACACCTCGAAGAAACTGCGACAGGTCTATCCACAGCAGAAGAGTCCAGAGAATTCCTCCCGGTCCATCATCAAAGGATAAAACAGTCCAAAAACAGGAACGTAGACTCTGCATCCACGGCTATTTTTTTTATGATTCTCCCCTTAGCTCTGATGAACAGCCTCCTCCGGCAAACCGAGTGCTATAACCTAGATCCCGCCCTCTAACACATCTGATTGGATATTCAGTTTACATCATCCAATGTGATAAGAGAAATTACAAGATTGACAACTTAACAAGTCAGGTTGTAAACAAGATTCAAGGCAAACAAACTTAAGGCAACATTAACATTAGTATTCAACAAATAAATTGACAAAAAAACAAAAAAAAACGTTGTTTGGATTTAAACTATTTATGAACACTTTTTAATAATTGATGAACTTTTATTTATTGTTATTTTAAACAGATTTTAAACGCATTTTAACTTGATTTTTAATATATTTAACCTAGTAGTCTGAAATAGATTTTTTTTTTAGACCAGGCTACAATAAAGAAAGACAAAAAAAATAAAATAACGACAAGACCCCTAATCATCAACAACTAAATCATGAAATAAAGTGAGACAAGTTAAAGTTTGAAGTTCAAAGAAACATTGAGAAAAACACAGAATGCTCCTCTATCTATAGTGTTTGTCCAACAAAATAGTCAAGATAAGACAAGAGCTGAGGGAGATTAAAGACAAAAAAAATGTGTCCTTGAAGTGCCGAATGCCCAGTGCAGCTCCATGAAGGACTCCAGAGCCAATTAAAGATCTGCAGACATTCAGCAAATGAGAATGGCAGGATGTCAAACTCAAGAGACCACCAGCTGATACTGGATCAGAGCTGCCATCTAAAACACTGAAGGGCTTTTAGAGCAATATAATATAGAGTTGGATCTGATTTATTTCTTTGTTGAAGTGGATCTGACTGAGAGTGCTGTTAAAACAACAATGATTAGTTCAAATTAAAAAACATATCTGCAGATAGATAGATAGATAGATAGATAGATAGATAGATAGATAGATAGATAGATAGATAGATAGATAGATAGATAGATAGATAGATAGATAGATAGATAGATAGATAGATAGATAGATAGATAGATAGATAGATAGATAGATAGATAGATAGATAGATAGATAGATAGATAGATAGATAGATAGATAGATAGATAGATAGATAGATAGATAGATAGATAGATAGATAGATAGATAGATAGATAGATAGATAGAGCACAGCACATCAGCTGCAGAGTGACAGCCAGTAAGAGCACCTGGAAGCAATAAGAAAACACCCGAACTCAACTCAGACATTGGAGCAAGCCTTTGTGTTTGAGGGTTTGATATTAGAGTTTATGTGTTTATTGCATTTTCTTAGCTGTGGCTACAGCAAGTTAGAGTAAACAATCTCTAAGAGATAAGGGAAATTGTTGTACTTTTACATGTAAAACAAAAGTTGGGCTCTTATTGTCATTTTTTATGTAGTTAGCCAGGTGATTCTATAAGATTTATCATAAGCATAAGAACGGTGGGTTACAAGTAGGGCGAATGCTTTGTGTTGCCAAACAAAACATGTTAGTTAGTTAGTTAGTTAGTTAGTTAGTTAGTTAGTTAGTTGGTTAGTTAGTTACTCTCCAAGATACTTGTGCAAGAGACAAATTGTGGGGCAATTTGTCTCTAGCACAAGTTGCCTACTTTTGCATACAATGACAAAACATATACAAGAATCCTTAAAACATGGTAGACAAAAAAAGACAGATGATGCTATCAGAATTATTGTTTATTCAACCTAATTAATACCTTCCTGCCCCTGTTTCATACATGGAGATAATGTTATATTAATGTAATTCATTTTCTATACATTTACAACATACTATACGTTTACAATCTAAAACTTACTTATACAGGTTAAAACGTGTATAAGCACTGTTTGCTTTAAAACTGTTAATCTAATTGTTATAACGAGGGTAAAGATCATGTCTGCTTTTCTTCACTAATACACCTGAAAGTGACCCAATGTAAAACTCAGAGAGATGATAGAAAAGCAGATGCCCTAAAATATTATCAAATAGCAGCAGCTCTATGAAAAGAGAGAAACAGTGATGAGTTCTTTAAAAGAAATACAAGATTTTCTATCTGGGTCACGGTTAAACTGTGAACGCTGCTAAGTCTTCCTGGATAGAAGTACTTTACTTTGTTAGATCGGATCCTGCAGTTGACAGTCTCCTGGCTTTTCCTCTCACTGCCTGGAAGCAGATTATAGTTACTGTACAAAGTGCACGAATGTGTGTGTGAGAATTAATTTATTGTGTTGAATAAAGTCTAATAATACAGAGCACTCCTCTGCTGATCCCTGCAGGCTGTATAATTTTTTTTTCTGAGCAGAGTTTTTCAAGAGAGGAACACCGAGAAATCATCTGCCAGAAAAATAGAAAAATGTTGACAGGAAAAAATAAAAAAAAAATAAAACTGAACCCTGCATGGGCTGACTGTTGACAAGTTGAAATGGGTGATTTCATGTCTTTCAGGAAATTCTATTTCCTATTTTGTTTTTGTATTTATGAAACATAATCATTTTGGTAGAGAAAGATGGAGAAACTTCTGAAGAGCTGAACTAACTTTAACTGAATAAAACACAAAACAAGTAAACAACATGTGTCTTTATTGGAGATAACATAGATCGACACAGGAAGCTAAAGGGCAGGAGCTCTGGAATCATGCTCCTCATTTAGAGGCTCAGTTCCCTGTGGGCAGAGCACTGCAAAAGGCCCTTCACTAACCCCTGACCTCCAGATCTGTTAGTTCCCAGGACATGGAAGAAAAACAAAGCCCGCAGTTACATCTGTTTGTGCACGGCTGTTCTTAAACAGGGTCATCTTCAATAGTCCCAGCTTTGGAAAACTGATACATATTTGGGCAGTTATAATATCTGGTAAAAGCAGTGTGACTTTAAAATAGTTGCAATAAAAAAATAAAACATTTGTGAATATTTTTAATACAAGGTTATCTTATTTGCAAAACACTGAATATGTTTGAAGGATACAGAAAAAAAGGAGTTTGTTCAGCTGGTGAGGAAACTGTAAAGATTGTATCCAGTATAGTCGTTTTTAAGCATACACTGTATGATTTTTTGCCCTTTTCTGGATGATTGTTCAGTCGTGTGAGAATTTTTTAATCGGACCGACCTTCAGTCTGATCGTACGTCGTGCATCATGTAGTGTAAAGGGGGTAACGAGGGTTGATCAGCCTCTTAACGACCACCTCCCCATCGGGAATCATGAGGTTGAGAGAATATCAAACATGTTTGAAATTCAGTCGGCTATTGTGGGCAAATAGCTCAGTGGGCATGCGCAATCAAAGATTTTTCTCTTTCTCTCAGATAAAAACACAGAAGCATGGTGGGGGTACTGGTGAAACGGAGTTCTTTCTGGAAAATTGACAGACTGTAGTTGCCAGGTTTGCTCAGCTATGTCTTTGTCTAAATATACGTCATTGCCTTTTCTTTTTCGGGCTTTCAGCACACAAAATTGCATAAATTGCCAAGACAGCAAG